CCACATATGGAAGGACAGAGAAGAGTGAACCTACATTGCATATCCAGGTAACAGCAAATTCTTCATTATGGCAGAATTTTGGTAAAACAGTCTAAAGCTGAGTTTAAGGAGATTGACCCATCATGAAAAAAGGAGTGTGGCACAAATTGTGCCTATTCAATCACCAACAAATGTTTCAAGTCACAGGCTGTGGAATTGCCACAGACAATACTATCAGACTGCAATACATCCCCACACTGCAGGGAGAGAACAATTTCCTTGGCAAAAGCACTGTGAACTATAAGTGTGAAAGCCCCATTGTCCACAGGGTGCCTCTGACCAGCACCTGAGTTCTGTCTTGTGAAAGGAATGTTGGCTCAAAGAACCCTGTCGACCAGACATTTTCCAATCACATCCAGGTAGAGTGGACATGATTCCCAAATGGCCATAATCCATAGGAGCTCTAGAGAGAGTAGAAAGGCCATATATATTCCTCTTTACCAGTCCACATCATCCTCTGTTACATCCCCACACTAAAAGTAGGAGTTGGTTGGGATTTCTCATTAATATAAAGGGAGAAAACATAGATTCCAAGCTAAAATAAGTAGTGTAGCCTTGATGCCATTCACAGTGAGATAGCAAAAAGTAGATCAGGAGGGCAGAAAGCACATTAAACACTGCTTACCTCTATCACCTCCCAACATTCATGGGCTCCCTCTCATTTTCTTTTTTCCTTGGCATAGATAAGATCTACCCAAAGAAATCCCAGTGAATTCACTCAACTGCAATTTTCCATTCAAGCACAGAGGTATTTGAGTTGAGATGTCTCTAGGATCTGGGATAAAAGACACTGAGTCCCAGTTATGCCCAGGCATGTCACCTTGGGAAATCACTTCTTACATGATGATCCTTTATTTCTATTACAATGGAATGAGGCTAATGAAGCTCCATCACAAGAGTAGGGGATTCCTATTCCTATGATTAAATGGTGTTAAACCAAGAAGCACAGCATTTTCCAAGTGAAATGAGTAGTGATAACATCTTCAAGTTTCAATAGTCATGTAATCTTGAGGAATAGCAGAATATTTTGTAAAGGTTCTTGTTTATTCCCTTCCCCCCAAGTCTCCAAAGAGTACAACCTAAAGCAAAAAGGGAAAAATACATTTGTCAAAGGTGTTTGGAGGCAGGACTCATCTTTGTCCATTAAACTTCCAGAGAACTAATGTACTGGGAGACACTCTTCAGGAATATTCTAATATTCAACTATATACATTTCTGACTCAGCAAATATTTAAGAGCTGTTAAGTTACTCTTAGTGCTAGATCTAGAATTTTTGTGCTTTTAGGTCAAAATCAGTACTTTCAAATTCATCTGTGAGAACAAGATACAAAATAATAAGAATCAGAACAGTGAGGAACAGATTGGGTGATGACAACGTCCTGGCCCCAAGAGTGTGATGATACTTTGCACTAATGATCTTCCTTCTATGGAGATATTCCCAAATCCATATCATTCTGAGCCCTTAGAATCTAGGATTTTTCCGTTATCTTTGATATTTATTGGGACCAAGGTGTTTGTTAGGTATATACTAATGTTATATAAGACTAAATTAGGAAATTTTACTACAAATGCACAATTTGGAAAGAGTTCTCATGTTCCCAATGGGGATATTCTGTAAAGATGTATCAACCTTCCAAGAGGCAATAGGGGAGACAGTGGGTAATTAATGGGAGATGGGGTCTATTTCTATCACTGTCTAGTTCTGGGACACTGGGGAAAGTCACTTAACCTCCATGAGCCCAAATGTCAAAATCTTAAAATACTGGGTCCCAACAGAAAGACAGTTTCTAGTGGTCCCCATATTATATGATTTTTCTGGGATGAAAAATAATATTTTAGACAGATTATGGTAAAATGAAGCATATTCTATATACCTGGCAAAATGCACAAGAGCTTCTTGCTATTTAAAAGAGGGCTGTGTTGTTTCTGTGTGCAAAGCAAAGAATTTCTACATTTTCATGTTGACTGCTTAGATTTTGTGATATCAAGGTAAACCCATGATAAGGATTTAACAGACAGCAAGTGTGTGCTAAATGGAAACTTCCGATTGCAGAAACTTCAGCATGTTTCTAAATCCAAGTTTGCAAATTCTCAAGAAGATGTAGATCTTCTTGACAAACAGTGTTTCTCACCAGTCTCTTTATCAAATTTGTTTTCTCCCTGAAGGTAAACTCTTTTAGTGCTGCATTATACTCATAAGTCCCGTCCTGCCAAAATTCCATTGGCAATGACACCTAAAAGATTATATTTACTTCTCTGAGCTAAAATGTAAAGGTCACTTTGTATATTAAAGCTAAGCCTTGAGGTTAAATATCTTTTTTTTGCACATTCCTCTGGTGGGTAGGAGACAGGGATGGAAGAGAAGGAGATGAGGAAGGAGAGGGAAAAGAAAACCTAGAGAAACAGAAACTTTTCGAGATTAATTGATCTGAGGTTGATCTAAAACCGAATTCCCTGGATCCTAGCCAAATTTAACTTGGCTTTTCCATAGTTAACTAGAGATTCCACTTACAACCAAGAATAAATCATATCTAGAAGAGGCAATGCCTTTCTTATCTAGGATAACAGTTTTCTCACTGGTACATCATCTTCAAAAGAGTTTCAGTAAGATTTTCTACCAGGAAAAACAGTGCCATTTTGCTCTGGCTCTTTTTATCTGCATATAGAGCTTCAAACACTTCCAAGCATCTTGGAATTCATAGGCAATGGGATCAAACCCAAATGTTCACTATTCAAATATGTCATTTGACTAAAGGATACAGTTTTCTCTGAGATTGAATAAGAATAGTGAACGGCATGATGCTCTTAGGAATCTCGACCTCACAATCAACCCCTCTTTTTAGTTCAGCATCTGTACAAATGTGATTTCATGAAAACAACACAGATTTTATTCTAAACTCCAATACAACGATTTTCCAATTTAGTCTCTTGCTGAAGAGGTTTTTGGCTGTACTAGAATATGTGAAAAACAGAGGGTAGGAAAAAAGAGCCAGGTGCATCCATGAATTTATAAACCAGGTCTGCTGAAAAACATTCAAAACAAAACCCCTCCAACCACCCTTTGGGTAAAACATCAATCTGAATATTATCCAGCATCATCTCTGTTATGTGTCTACACTAGCTCCAGACAGATGGCCAATTTGCTTCTACCACCTTCCGTCCATGCAGCCAGCTGCTCCCAGATGATGGCTTTCACAGGCTGGCATTGTGATTGTGCAGGCACCTTGGGAGAAGCACATTCTCAGAGCGGCCCATAATGCAGAAGGCAAAGCTAACTCACACAATCCTACAAAATAAAATTTTAAGAAAGAACAGTAGGCACACCTGGGCTAAGACATAAAGCTAACTTCACTTGACTTCTCTTAAAAATATGAGGTACTATATCTTAATGGTCCTACAAGGGAAATTGCTTTCTGTCACCTTATTCTTTCACTTCCCACAAGAGATCTTGGGATGCTTAGTTCTAAGAGTGTATCTATGTGATGAAAAGCAAAACTATTACATGCATTTCCATAAATAGTAACATTTGGGTAAAAGGATCAAGCAGGGCCTATTGCAGGAATCAGAATTGCCCACCTGCCTTATGTTGCTTCAATGTGGAGAGACTGCACTTGCAATTTTGATACACCAATACAACTATTGTCTCACTGTGATTGACCTGTAGTCAAGTGGTGTCTTCTAATACTTAAGCTCTAAGCTATGGTTCTAATTTCTAAAGCTAGAAATAATGTTCTATTAATAAATAATTAAATGCAACTGAAGCACTCACACTACGTTTAAAGTAATTGATCACTTGCAAGGAGCATTTTGATAAATAAAAAGTATTCTCTAAGTAGTACTTACATAAAACCAACATAAAAACACACACTTTTTCAAAATCCAATACCTTTGTTCTGTAGAATGTTTCTAGGAATGCACACAAAACCACACACCAGTTTTGCTCTATGTTTTGTAGTTCACCAAAAGACATTAACATCACAGACTGAGGGGCCAAAATTATGTATGATCTAGATTAATCTTGAGGAGAAACCAGAAGGTCTCTCATGCCTTCACTGGCTTGGGTTGAGGTGATACTCCTCTGTCCTCCAAAAGCACCCTGGTGTAATGCTAACCACAAACCAATTACTTTAGATCATTGTTGCTTCTTTACTTGTATGTCTCCTGTACCAGATTGGAATATTAATACCAATATTAATACCATTTACTATCTCTAGGGCCTTCTACAATAGTTAATTTGTTAATCAATGCTTGTTGATTGAATGGATGATAACAAAATATTTTTTTAATTTTATGACAATTTACTCATAAATTAACTCATTAAACATTTATAAGAATACTACATACTCACATATCAATCACATTACATAAAAGTGCTATTGTTCATAATTTCAAGAAGAGAAGAAGGGATAAGGAGAAAGAAAAAAAGGAAGATTTTTAAGGAAGAAAGGAATGAGAAAGAGGGAGAAAAATCTCTAAAACAGCCTTGTTTGCAGACTAAATGAAATCTCTATGTGTGTTTAGTTTACTAAACAAAATTAGTCAATACTTTTTTATTATTAATTCATAGTAATAGCAAAGACTTAGCCCTTACCATATGCTAGGTTCTATTGTAAGTACTTGACATATTTTAACTTATATACACCAATGGTTTATCAGGGAGATACTATGAATATTACCATTTTACAGATTAATACAACGAGACACAGAAATTTTGCATATCCAAGATATCACAGATAAAATTTGTCAAAATAAATACTTTGTGTAGGCAGTTTAGCTCCAGTGTCAATGTTCTCATCAATTATACGGTATCTCCTCAACTTAAATTTGTAAGTATTTATTTAGCATGTGCATTTACAAGCTCCAAGTCACTTAGTCAGGCACTTGAGGCATATACTTGTCTTTGCCTTTCGCATTGCCCTATGTTGTTGATTCCTTCACTGAGTACATGCTGTCTCTTCTAGAACAGAAAGCAAGCACCTTGAGGTATAAAGTCCAAACAGGGCATGCACACTGTAAAAGTGCAGAGTCAGAAGAAATGTTTGAAGATAGCACAGCTACAGAAGCTACTATGGTGGAGACAAGGTGAGCTTGGCTTCAGGAAGATTTGAATATAAAGTATGTATGATGAAATAAATGTTTTGCAAAATTTGATTTTATAAATAATTATTTGAAAAACTATACTAAATGTTGGCTTGATGAAAGTGATAACAGGAAGAAAAGACACATGTTTCACACAGGAATGATCTTATCCCTTCTGATTGGGGGGTTTGGCTACTTCGCTTTCCACCTGATCACAGGTAATACCCTCATACCTTCACTGTCTACAGCATACATTGAAGCCAATCTAGAGTAAAGACCATTTGGTCCATGCCTCCATGCCTACCAAAGTGGAATCAGTCAGATTGCAAGATGACTATCATGGTTTAATAATGAGCTTTTTTTTTTTTTTTTTTTTGTTTTTAGTACTGGGGATTGAACCCAGAGCCTCACACAAGTAAGTCTACCACTGAGCCCCAATCCCAGCCCTTGTTTTTCATTTTTCTATTTTATTTTTATTTATTTATTGTCTTTGAGACAGGGTCTTGCTAAGTTACAAATGCTGGCTTGGAACTTGGGATCCTCCTGCCTCAGCCTCCTGAGTAGCGTGAGTTAATATGTATGCTACCTCACCCAGCATGAAGATAGGGTTCTTGGTGAAAAAGATTTATGATAACACAATCCCTCCTCTAAATATCTGTGCATTTCCAAAGAAGTATATTTTACATTAAAAATTTGTTCACCTATATATGCACACATAGAAACATACAAAATCTTCTTTAGGCCTGGAACTAGTTTTCATTCCCATAATCCTCTGTGCATTTGAATGATTAGATTCTGTCCTCCTGATAACATGGCTGAAGTTTGTGAAAAGCCATATTGTTCTGGTTAATGGTAATGCTCAGTATCTCCTCTCACCCATCTATCAGCTCTTTAGGCCTCATTATCTCAATGACACATCTTGGCCTCTCTCCAGCTTGTATATTGTTTATTGATTGATGTGAATAATGTAGGGAAAATAGAACATTCTCTAAAAGTTATGAACAACTGATAAAAGAGGTTCTGAATATAGTGGCAGCCAGGATCGGAGTAAGCAAGGGATGGAAGGAGATAGATTACTGTGCTCCCAGCTCCCAGTTTGGGCTTGCAGCAGAGAACTGCTGGAGAAGTTTCCTATTACAGTTGACTTCCATAAGGATATTTTTCACATCAAAATCTCCAAATATCTACCATACAGATGAATCCTGTTGGTGAAACTGACAGGCAACCATTTAAAAATCAGTCTGTCTTACAAGTTAAATCAGAGGAGGATATGGGCCAATTTGTGAGAGAGCATTAAAAAAAAGGCATTTCAAAACCTGAGCATTTTATTAGAAAGAAGTCAGTTGAGCAAGGCAGAGAAGATCTAAACAAGAGGACAAAGGAACAAGAGTGAAAAACTATGTGTCATAACTATTGCATTGAAGAAGATCTCTTCTTCTTCAAAATAGAGGACAGTGTGCTTGGGGACAAATTTGGCTCCTAGCCATATCAGCTGCAGTTTGGAAATATAATTAACAACCATGTATGGAAATAATTAATATCTTGCTCTTGGGGAAAATTTATAGTGAAATGTTGTTTTTCAGAACAGACAATGGGGGACTGTGTTCTGAAATTCAGCCATCTGTACAGGCTGGGTGAGAAGGAGAAATCTGCAGGTAGACTGATATCCTGGGTCGAGTCCCAGGTTTCTTGGGCACCTTGTGAAATAAGAAATGGAAGGCAGTCCTATTTGCATGGCCTCCCCACCTGACCCTCTAAGTTTTCCAAAACAAACTTCTGGTCCTGTCAATTTTCAGCTTAAAATTTCCAATGCATCCCTGTTCCTTTCTGCGTAATATTCAAACTTCTCAGCATATTATACAAAACCTGGTGAGATCAATTATCCCTGACCCTGGAGATCCTCTTCTTCACTATTGTTTCCTCTCATCCCCCTCTTATTCTTCTGCTCCCATCTAGAGACCACTTCCTCTGCAATGCCTTTCCAAGTTTTTCTGCTTACTTTAAAAACTGGGCCAGTACTCTTCTTATACGCTTTTAAGAAATGCTACTTCTATCATATATATTTTCCACTAGTTTGAAAACTATAAAGAAGATGTAACCTGTTCATCTCATCCCATATTTAGAATATTGCCTCCTACAGTTGAGGGTCAATAAATACTGATTGAATCAATTAAAATTAGAGGTTTTGTTGGAGACAAAGAACTGGGGGCCATTTGACCATAAAAACATAAAACCTTGGCAAATATTGTTGAATGGCCTGAATTCAATTTGAAGATCTTTGGTGGGATTTGGAGCCCCTCTTTAGATATTGCCCTGAGGTTTCATCACCACTACCTCAGAGTAGAAACCAAACAAAGCCATCTGTTGATTATAACAAGGGGAGGGGGAGGGGGAGAATAGGACTGGGGTTCTGATCCTTCTTCAACTGGACCCTCTTGCCCAAACCAGGAATGCCACACTCATAGAAAAAGCAAGGTCCATTTCTATGGGACTCTGTTATCCAATTGGAGGTAAACAGACATGAAAGTAGGCAATGAAAGATGTTTCTTATATCATTTTTTTCCAGAAATGAGAAGGCATGCATTTTTTTTCTCTGCTTCAGGTACACTGGATGAATCTACTCTGAAGACCCAATATGGAATTTTGAACAGGGATAAAACTCTAACAAAGCTGCATTCTAGGAAGTTGGCTGAATCAAGCTGGAATTTAAATGATGAGACAAGAGGCGATGAAAGAAGTTCAACATCCAAAGTATTACAGGATGGAAATCAAGAGACAGACAGGGAAAACGTATGACATTTAATAAGAATGGGCCTCTTTACAGTGATGCTGCCCATTAGTATGCAGGGCATACTAGTTTAGATGTCCACAAAAGTGTTTCATTTTAATCAGAGACCAACTCAAAATCATTTCACATTAAGTCTTTCTATACTGTTCATTGGTTTCTTATTTCAGATGTGAAAATACTTTATTAAAAGTAGCAAAATAAAATCCTTCATAATCTGACCCTAGGAAGGTAGCTGGCCAAGTACAAATTCTTTCACATGATGATCAAAAGCAAAGAAAGAAAAATAGGTTAACCACCACCATAATAACAAAATTAAAGTTCAATCAATGAAGTAAATATACAAACCTTTCCAAAGAATATCATTTAGAATTCACACAATGAATGAAATGCCAGATATAGAATACTTTAATAAGTAAGGAATATTATTTGAAATATGTTAAAATAAAGATAAGCTTTAATTATTTAGAAAATGTACTTAGAGCACAAAAATCCATTAGCATGTTAAACCCACAAGTTATGCTGAAATATATGGATCTCTTCATGAATGAGGATTCTAACAACCTCCAGCAATGAAGTGTTTTCAGAATTAAAGAAGGTTCTGTGAGAAAGAATGGCATTGTTTCCAAAGATAGATAAGCCATTATGTAGGATGTAACTGCATTAAGAAAAGGGTATTCATTTATATTTCCTTCTGCAATCTAGCTCGTGGATATTCAGTTATATGCAGAATAGCCTTTCAAGGATGCCCTAAGATTATATGCAAACTATGGATAAAAGAAATTGAATTTCAAAACTATTTGTATCAACATCAGTATCCAATTGTCTTAACCTTTTAAGCCTTCTGAATACTACAGATTTATCACTCCCCAAGCTGTCCAAAGGACTTCAAAAGATACTTTATCTCAATATGCAACATTTAGGTTCATTCACTGTAATCACTTCCGAATAGACATCACAGCTGCAAATTAAACTAAAATGGTGTTTAGAGATAACAAATCAATTGGTTAGATTAAAGGATATTTTCAAACAAGTATCAGAAAGCCTGATGAGGATGATGAAGAACTAGCTAGGGAGATTTGAAGGGATTAACTTACTCCTTGAAAAGGTACCTTGGATCTTGTAAAGCTTGGAATCTATTACCTTCAAGGCTCCCATGTAGCAACCCAGCAGCTGCAAATTACTACTTGGTTTTACATAGTAAAGGTCAGGTAAAGAGATCAGATTGCAGTAGGCATCAAAGGAACTAGAATGTGTTAAGTAGAAAGGACCTGGTGGCATTAATATGAGATCTTAAGGTTACTATCCATTTAACTCAGTTAAATAAAGATCCTATGATGCTAAGTATTTTATTCCTTCATGCCAGGAAGATTAGAAATGTTGCCCAATGGCACTCAGCCTGTTGACTGGCTTGCCATTCATAGTTCCCAATCCTGAACTCATGCCAACAGGGAACAGATTTATACACCCACATGGCATCTGGAATGGCACTTACTAGATAATGATCACAATGATCTAAAAGAAACAGAAAAAAAGGATACTTCACAGAGCAACTTTTACCCCCATTCAGAATAATGCCTAAGTCTTGAGGGACTGAAGCCCATTTGATTAGAGAGGAAGTCCTTCAAATAAAGGGGGAAATGCTACCTTCTCTATTACCCATGACAAATGCATAATTGCTTGGCTCTTTCCAATATCCTGCCCCACTCACTACTGTGCTGTATGTGAAGCTGAGATTGTATTTTAATTCCCATAGTTCTGAACAGAATATCAATAAAGGCATGGGAGAAAAACGCATATGTTCACCATCTGACTTCTCTTCGCAATTTAGTACAATGAGATTAATGCAGGGGAACCCAACTAGTTGTATTTTTCTTTCTCATTGTTCTCTTTAGGTAACTCCTACAGCTACTGAAATTGTACTGCAATGTAGGTCAAAGACCTATCAAAAGGTTTTTCTGCTAACAGAAGGGTCTGCTTTGAAGAAAGGAGGCAGGAAGGAAAGAAGCAGGGAGAGGAATTCCATCAGTTAGGGGATTGTGGAGAAAGCAGATACAGAACTTTCTCCTCCTGATGTTTGTGTCTGGAAAGATACCAAATAGCAGTCTTCTATTCTAGGCTGCCTCTTTTGAACAGGTAAACTTCTGTTTAAATGGCACTTAGATACAATAAAGAGTTTCATTGACTAAGCATTGGTACTCTGGATTACATCTCTCTCCCAAGAGCCCCAAGGTCCTATTGCTCGCCCTTCCTTTGAGCTCAGATGTTGAGTTTGCAGATACATTCAAGAAAAGTGGCTTCTCTTGGCTGATGATTTCTGGCTGTGGTTTTGTGGGCTTTTCACTGAGACATAAAACTGAGGTCCTGACCACTCAGAGTCATTAAGGCTCCCTGGAAACTTTCTGTAAGGATAGTGATATTAAGAGCAATTGCCCTGGCCAGATTCCATCCCAAGTAATTGCATTCAATCAGGCAGTTTGCAACAAAGCCTCTTCCCATTCAGTCTTCTCCAGCTTCTCTGCCAGTAATCCACTGGCAGCCGAGGTCCAACTACTTTTGGGTCAAAACAGAGTTTCTGCATTGAAGTCAATTGGAGAATATATACAGTGGGTCACAATCACCACAGGCTCCTTTGTCATCTGCAAACTGCCCCTTTGGTTTGCAATGTCAAAACATTCTCTAAGTCTTCTTATTTTCCAAGGTCCAGCTCCAATCTCTGCTCTTACATAGAGTTCTCCAAAAGCCTGACCTTTTGGAATCAATCACATCCTCCCTATGTTTCCTCTAAACATAGTGTAATTCTTAAATATTAAATTAAACTCAGTAAGTGCACATCCATTTGTGTTCATGACTTCTTCGTCCTCGCTCCTATGTAATGAGTTAACAGGGTATGTGTTATTATCTGAATTCATGGCTAAAGGAAGAAAGACACTCGAAGTTGTATGATTTTGAGTGTATGTGAGAAAAGAATATGGTCAAGACAAAGCAATCAGATGTCTTTTGTTAGCTGGGGTAGTAATTAAAATCAGGATTTTACTGCCTTTATCCCACTGAGAGGTCTTTGCTCTCCTTTTAAATTCCCTCTGCTCTAGAGATAGCAATTTCCTTGCACACATTTAGGGAAACCAAGTCAAAATAGTGACTGCATGGTGTAAGTCTCAAAGAATCTGATTCCTACATTTTTTTTGTCTCCATCTTTCCGTTTCTTTGTCATTTAAGTAAGGTCTCTTCCACACAAAACCCATCCTTCTTCCCCATGGTAACATTTTCCTAAAGAGTTGTCTTAGAAATAACTATAATTAAATTGATCCTGTGCACATGAACCTCATTTTACAAATAGCATAATGTCTTTTCATATATGATCTCATTTTACTCTTTTAATAACATCATAAGAGTCAGAATTTGTACTTTCTCATTTTCCAGATGGAATAAGAAATTCAAGATTTCACTACTGGTTCTGAAATGAACCAGTAAACTGGAAAAAAAACCCACAAAGGTTCAAATATCTTTGGAGTTCATTTTCTCTAAAATTGGACTCAGTAGTATAGACCCACCAGACTATATATACTTCCCTACTTTGAGATCACCTACCCCATGCAGAAAAAGATGTCACAATAGCAAGTGTCCACTATCTTCCATGGAAAAAGACTGGACAAGATATTTTCTGTGCTTCCAATTGTATTTTGAGTTTTTCTTCCAAAGATATATCAGGATAAAATATTTTATGGATTCCAAGTTTAGAAAAGGCAAATCCTTGTGCTACATAAAAATCCTAGAGTCCAGTTCTACAAGGCTAGTTCTCAAGAATGTTAGCCACATACTTTGAGTGTGTTGTCTCATTTAACACTGACCACAGCGCTCACCCATGCTATGGTTCCCACTGCGTAGTGACACAGATTTTAGTGCCACTCATGCACCGGTATCATTGAGGCTAGAATTTGAGTGGAGGCTGATGCCTCCAGGGCTACATTCAACCAATCTTCAGCATTGAGTCAGGACAGATAGGAGGGAGCTTCCATCTCCCTCAGCTCATTCAATCCATTCCCCTTTGCCTCGTATCTATGAGCAAGCTGATATTTCTTGTTTTTCCACAAAATGTTAAAGCTAAGTCAAAAGAGGAAAAGGAAATAAAAAGGATATTGAACTTGTTCAGAAAAAAGCTGAGAGTATCTTATAGCTGTTGTCCATTTTACTACTGGTTGTAAAAGAAACAAGATGTGGGATTCAAGTCAAGTCATCAGACTTCGATTCAGTCTTTGCATGATCTTTTCTGTCCTAGTCAAGGCATCTTCTCCTTCTCTTATCTATTGGGGGGTGCTTGTGGGAATTAAAGAGATATAAATTCAAAAATAAAAACAATCCCCAACTAAGTTTCTTCCATATCCTTAAACACCGGAAGTGAAGTTTGACCTTGGGCTTGGCACAGGGCCATAAAGTGCCGGGGATGAAGGAAGTCACTCTTTTTTTTTAGCTGAGATGCTCTACAGCCAGGATGCCCTTTTGAGAAAACAACATGATCTGAGCCAGGAAGGCTCTCTCATTGTGCCAGGATCCCCCTGCTAGCCCTGTTGAATTCCACTTGTCACTGCAGGAACTTGAAAGACATGACAGCCAAATTGCAAAATAGAGATGAGCGATAGTGCATTTTGGCAGTGTTGGAGCAGAGATGGCTGAGCTGCACAGTACAGTGGAAGAACCTGCAAAAGGGGGCATCGGCTGGTACCTGGATCGTCCATTCTTCCACTGGCTCTACAGTTTCACAGTCTCTACTAAGAACATTTGCAGTCTACCTGGTAGGCTGGCAAATGCTCCTTGCTCCCTTTTAAAAGTGGAGAACCATCTTCGGTGCATTCATGTCTCTCTCTTCTTGAAAAGGAGTCTTTTTCTTCCTTTGTGTTTTGTTATTTCACTGTTTGTGTGCAGTAGAGGGGAGTGGTTATGGAATAAAAAAGTGTCTGTGTTTAATACCATATTTCTCTTTTTATTGAGTGGTGGGGAGAGTTCAAGATCAGGATAGGCAATAGCTCACACATCCAAGCTGCCTTAAAATGACACTTTTGGGGGCTAGGTATGTTAGCTCAGTGGTAGAGCACTTGCCTCACATGCATGAGGTTCTGGGTTCTATCCTGCAGCACTGTAAGAAAAACAAACAAACAAACAAAAAACAAAAACCCAGAAAACTACTCTTTCAGTGGTCCCAACTCAAAGTGGTAAAAACCACCCTTTACTCATCTTGCAGATAATGACACATGTTAGAACTCCTTCCCAAATCTTTTTTTAAATGCCTGCATTTTGTTTTGTTTTGTTCCTTTTTCTCTCTCAAGGATTCTTTGAATAGCAGTTTGTATCTAATAGGCCTGTGTGGGACGCCTGTGTTTCATATCAAGACAGAGCTACTTGCTGTGCAAAGGAATGAAGTTAGAACCCTAGAATAATGGAGTGGAACTCTTAAAAAACAAAATTCCAAGAAGCCCTCCTCCTTGAGCTTAACAAATGTCTTTGAAAACAACTCTAATAGTAGCCTCCTAGGGCTCTGTGCCGTTCAATTGACATCAAGCATTCTATGCCATATAGTGACTAAGAATTATTAATTTCAGCCCCAACTTCCTTCATTCCTAGGGGGAAGATCAAACAGGTGTGTTTTCCTAAGCCACTCCTGAAGTCTTCAACCTCGAAATTCCTTAAATCTCAAAGATAATATGAACACCTCCAAAGTGCCCTCTAACCCCACCCCACCCACCCAAGAGGTTAAATGTAAAATGCAATTGTGTTTCTGGGAGAGAAATAATGAACCCTGAATTTTATGTAAACAGGACGAATGGAGAGAAATGCTCTAATTTCAAATCAAATCTTGCACTGTCCAGTAGAGGGCAGTTGGTTCCAAACACAGAACTTCAATATTTTATACTTGCATGACCAAAGCAAAAAGCCTTACCAATTTGTTTAATTTTTGTTTTTTAAAAAAATGCAACTAAGGGTTTCACTGAAAAAAAATGACCCCTTCCTGCAAGTACACTTCCATGCTCAGCAAAATACAAAATGCAGGTTCACAGAGCTTCTAGATCAGTTATAAAAAAGAGGCCCTCAAAGCCCACATGGTAACATGCTTCCTAGGTAGTTTTTCTGTATGCTGAGGTTTAAGAGCCTCAATAGCAAGTTGGCTTCTCCATTCCCTAATTCTTAAAAGGCACCTGGACATCCATGTATATTGGATTTTCGTGTATATTGGGAAAAGCCAGAGATATCAAAACACTCCAGCTATAACTATATGGCTAAAAAAAACCAGCTGTCATTACTGCTTGTTTCACTGAAATGATGCTGTTATCTCCCACACATCCTTGCGGGGAATAAAGGTGGCTTTAGGGAGAATGCACCCTGTAGCAAATGCCTGGGGAATATAAATGTTGACAAATAAGCTTAGGGAAATCTCCCCATTCCAAGTCCTTGTGCAGTTACCAGTTACACGACCTGGACAACCCCTCTCCAAACTTTAGCTTTTCCCAACTTTAAAGAGAAGTGTATAGTACTTATCCTGGTGATTTTAGAGTTTATAGTACTGACCTTGTAGGTTTCAGAATTTTGTTGTGTGTTGTTTCTGCATGAATTATCCTCATGCCTAGGAAGTTCTCAGTACATATCATGTGTGTCTTCAAGTTTGCTGTTTATTATAATTGCTGATTTGAGAAGCAGGAGCCCTCACTATTTTATTCCCTCTTTAAAGGAGTTTGGGTTACTTCATATATCACTTAATTTAAAAACAAACATATTTATAGTTCCAATTAAGTGTTTTTTTACTT